CCATTTTGCATAACATGGTATGTGAATTGAGATTTGTCACATTGTGAAATGAAATTTCCAATTTCGAAAATGTGTCTATGAAACTAGTAGATGCAAATATAGCCGATGTGATCTACTTTATTTTACTTCTTACCGAATTTATTTAATCTGTGCTAGGTATAAATGTTTGAGTTACCACATTTGAATTTCGAAGCTTTACCTATCACAGTTTGCATTTAATGGATATTTTTTTTTTCATGGAAATCTTTATTTTTAGCGAAACATTTGAACAATTTAGAGTTGACACAAACTGTAATATATCACAATTAATTGACAAACAAACATAATTCAATGAAGCATTTATCTAAATATGGGAATTACATATTGAAATTTACTGTAAGAAGACTTGTCTATGGAAAATCAAATTGAAAACAGATGATGTAGCTTTTAGTTGGATGACATTTCGATAATCTATATATATCAAGCAACATGATTGTTTAACATCGACTCGATAAAGATGACAGAAATGTGATGTTGTTATATATTAAGTACAAATTGGATTATATATACCATTGGCCGGAAGTGGTTTCCGCATTCCATTGATCATTGAAAATACATGCCGTGTCCGAAATATATGAAAAAAAAAACCCGACAAAATACTCAAAATCTGCTGGCTTCGTTTTTATGTTGAAGTTTTTCTTTTATCGATGATAAATTGATTGAATTGGATCATAATGGATTTCCTTCCGTATAATATTCGTAAAAAAAGAACCGAACAAATCGCATCGATTGAGTTTGACCAAAGATGAAGCAAAAAAGTGAAAAGAAAGTTCTCTGGTATGTGTGTGTGTGCGCACCAAGCACAACATCAAACGAATACAGCTAACTTTCAATTAACGAAATGAAATTAATTGCACTTCCTGGATTGTGCGGAAAATAGATGGGCGAAAAGTGCAACTTTGACGTTTGACATGTTGAAGGAAAAAATGTTGTTCCATTCAATGGGTCTAAGTAGTTTTCGTTATGCTTGCCACCATTCGCGTCAATATGTAGGATTTAGTTGGAAGAGTCATGCGATCTGAATAGCTGCTTGAATATAAATTACCTCTTTTGCCTTGTCTTGTACATACGGCGAACGGTGAACAAGGCGAACAAACGTCAAACAGAAATCGAAAAGGATTGCATTGGAGTAAGGAGCGAAAGAAAAAAGAATGACCAAAGTGCAATAAACAAACTGCCCCTTGTTCATTTCTTATATGTGCACAAAAGTACATGGTCATAAAAAACAAATCGTTCACAAGAAAATATACTATATAATATATAAATCGCTGTTGTTGTATTCCATTCGTCGTGACTCTCCCCAGTGTGAGCTGAGATACACGAAGAGAAGTAATTCTCATGTTCGACTCCGTATCGAATTTGTTTGTTGTATTTTCGTTCGCACATTATTCTTAACGGTAAAACTTTGGTTTCTCACATTGACTCCTTCACATAATAATGCATCAAATGTAATAACCTCGAAAAGTTGTGTGCAATGAAAGTGAAATAAACACAATTTGCTCCCTGAGCATTGATTGTCGCTTGACTAGCATCGTAAATCCTCGACCAACCGTCACAATTTATTCATGAATTCATGAGGTATGAAACGATATGGCTCTGTGGTTGAGTTCTGGGCCTAAATCGAAGCTACGTTACCTTTTTTTCTGCTGGCAGATGGTGCCAATGGCACCAAATCAAATTGAACTTTCGCACACCAAAACTCAAATAAGGTGAGAATTTCGTTTCGATCGGTGCTATGAATTTCGATTATTTGAACCAACAACAAAAAACCACCCATCATCCTGTCTCTGAATATAATAATTCGTTGCACATATTCTATTCATATGCTTAAAATCGATAAAATAATCATATTTTATTCCCTTTTGTTCCGAATAACATGATCAATTAAAGGTGAGTTTGTTGTGCATCATAAATGGATTGCAGGCTTTTAAAGCATTCTATTATTCATTCATTGGCTGTTGAATGCTCTGCACTTTGACTCCGTTCATTGGAAGTTATAAAAAATACAAAACCATAGCAAATGTAGGAAGTTTTTTGTTTTGAAATTGAATGAAAGCATCCATTTATGTGTTTATCTTCTTTTTTTATGAGCTCTGTCAATTTGCTGGTTAGATGGTTTGTCTTCAACATAGATTTTTCTTTTGCCATCACAATTGTCGGGATTTTTTTTGATGACTGTTCATACTGTGACATCAATTGTACATCATGAACTATGTTGATGTCTTCAGACGAAATGAAATGATTCAAAATGTAGTGAACAAACGTTGAAGTTGACATATAGGAAATTGAATTGCACTTGACTCTTGTCCATAGTTTTAATAGCAATTTTACAAAGTTGTTTATTGAGAATAGTTCTTACAATGGTATTACACATCTGAGTACCGGAAAAATGTATATAAACCGGATGCTTTTAAGTTCTATTTGTCTCTTTAAAAGGCTCATGTAATCAAATCTACTTTTCTTCGCATGATTGTTATAATCGATTTCGACGAAATGTAATTGTTTGGTTTTTAAATCATTTGATGTATGATGTGCAGACGCTTTAAAAAAATACTTTCCACAACACGGTGTAGACTAAATAACAAATACCAATAATTGATTTGTCTTGGAAAAGCAATGTATGTTTTCATTCGAAATAAACGATAATAGATAGCATGCGTTTTTATTCGTAAATTATGTTTACTCGTTTATCGTCTTTCTATTAAAATGTTTCAATTTTTTATTTGCCTCATGTCGATTCATTGCTAGGTTTATTGAAATGGCTGCTCAAAGAGATGTATCAAATGTTAAAAACCCATCTGATTTTGTAAATATTAGATTAGACTGATTGCAGACGATTGAATGGAATAAAGTTGAAAAAAGATGTTGTTATTCCTTCTGGAAATGTATTTCAAAATAATTGAAATAACTGCAAAAAATGATACAAGATTAAAGATGCAAAAAAGCAGAAAAAAATATGATAAGGTATGGCCGAGTCAAAGTCGATGTTCAATTTTAGTGGAAATTCGCAAATTGGCATGAACTCCATAATTATTTAATTGCAAAGAAATCAACTTTCGATGGGCATTAATAATAACTATTTATGATCTTGAACTTTTGTTATTGAGATGCAAAACGACCAACATGTTTCAATACTTGAGCAAAAGTTTCCACTTCTTTCTACTAATTGACCTATTTTCAACGAACTATTTATATTTAATTAAAGTGGTGTCCAAATTAGCCTCCATTCTATGGATTGTTTGCAACAATATATGTTTCTTACAGAGAATTTTCATTAAAGGTAACCAATGAAATAATTTAATTAAACGAACAGAAAAAGTTTAAGGGTCTTTTTTCGCTTTCAAGTTAGTCTTTATCTTCAGATATCTACTTGGACAAGCACAAAAACATTGTACATGTAACTGATAACATGTATAAAAACGCTTGGCATAAGATACGTTATACAAATATTGCTACTGGAAGTTATTCGTAATTTGGTTTTTTTTTATATCAGTCTTGGTAAAGTAGATGTATGTTGATTGGTGGCATTTAACTACAACTTTTGTTAAAAAAATAGGAATATAGTGACTTTGTCCAAAGCCACACACAAAAAGTTTGGCATCAGCTAGGGCATCAGTAAATTGAAAGCATGTTCGCTACTTCAAAATAGATTGTCATGTATTGCTCAGGCTTTGATACTTAAAAATCGTCAATATAACTCCAAACACAAGAAACATGCATAACAACAAAGTAAATTCGTTTTACCCTATTTTAAGTTTTTTTTATTGATATGATAGGCAAATCATAATTGTGAGTGAGTTGAATGCAACATATGTTTGGAATGTTGACTATTTACAGTGGTATTGTGAGCACCAGACATCGAATTTTTTTTCTTTCATAAATTAATTCACTAGGGGGCAGACACGCGGAATAGTATTAGACTTTTAGTGTAAACATTCGAGAAATTGCAATGAAATAGCAACGCCTGTGAATGGATTCGCGTGGAATAGCGAAACAGTGCATGGAATAGCAAAAATTGTTTCACTTCAAATCCATTTGACATTTCTTTTGAAGTTTATTGATGGATTAGTGGAATAGTGCGGAATAGCAGAATTAACATTTTTGATGGAAACAGTGCATGGAATAGGAAAAATAGTTTCGATTTGTGTTTTTGGATTAGTGGAATAGCTGGATCAGTAATTTATATAGTGGATTCGGAATTTATTCTTGGTGTCTCCCCCCTAGTTAATTCAGTTGTCGAACCGTCGGTTAATTTGAAATAGGGCACAACTCTTTTGTAAATGTATCAAATAGCAAAATTGGCTACTAATCGAATTTGGTCCAGAAATTTACCATAATATATGTTAATCCTGGCATTCAATATTATATTTTAAATGAATTAGCTCATTACTTGGAGCATGAATTAGTCTGGTACTATATGTGAGCTTTAAATTTCTTTGAAATTATATGCGGTTTTTCTCCAACGCATGAACTCAGGAACAAAGCTTTTTGTTTGAAGCCTTTCAAATTCAATTTTTCGCCGATGTTTTTAAACCTTACAAAGTTAACTTTTCTTACTTGACGGAACATACTTAGTTTATATTTTCACTCACTGTTTGGATTTATTGATAAATACAAGTCAACATCAATGGAAAGAACAAAAAGATTAATTTGTTAGTTTGAATATAGGAACGAAAAATATTTATGAAATTCGAAATTTAGTGAAAATTACTTTATCACTCACATTAATATCTTACTTCTTTTTCTCTTTTATATATAAAACGTCTCCTGTTTTATAGAATTTTTCCATCGTTCGAGTTTAAATAAAAAAAAAAAATAGAAAAAATTGTAAAAAAGCAAGAAGAGTACAATTAGTCGATAAACTTTTTAATACTGTAGTTTATTCAAGTCAATCTCAGGGGTATACGTTTTAAACATTTTGTATTAAATACCATAAAAAAATATTTAACTAATACACAATATTCAAATTATATGCATTTATTCATTTTTAATTGTCACAAAACATTTAAATGGACAGGAAATCGATATTAGAAAAAACTAGAACTAAAAATCTAAAAAAAAACTAATATCTTCTTTCCACCCATCACTGGAAAAAAAATCTTCGATTCATTTCTGCTTATTAAAATGTCCTTGGTTTACATTCTTCATCGTAGTTGTCGGATGGTATGATGTTTTGGAAAATTCGATAAAATTGATCCAATGGACATTTTTTGCCGCAATTTGGGATATTGAGTGCTTGCAATGGCTGTCGTTCTACCTCACGATCACGTTTATAATATAGTTGTACATAATGTCCATTGTTGGATGTGTAAAGCTCGAAAAACAGACACGCAGCATATTCCGGGTAGTGGGGCTTCAATGATAGGGGGAACGAGATGAATGAAAATATAAATTTTGAATTAAATATGATTGAACCAAATCAAAATAAAATAAATAATAAAAACCTCAAAAAGTTTTAAAGCACTCAAAACTCCAATGATTGTAGTGTCGTGCGCCGAATAAACGTGAATTGATCGATCTGGTTTCAATGTTCCATTTTTTTTCGCCGAAAACCGATCCAAAATATCTTTAATAAGATAGCCTGGTTTCACGCGAAGCATTTTTTCTGTTGAAACAAAAGCCAAAAAACACTCCATCCCAATCTTTTCCATTAAGCATCCTGGATAAAATTCTTTCTTTGCCCACTTTGGCAGTCTAAGATAATATTACCGCTAATTAGCATTAGTTTTTTTAAAAAATATTTAATTTTATTCAACTTACGACAATTTGTGCTCATTGTGTACCCAAAGAGTATGGTATAAGTCTAAGACGTTACAGACATTCGTAATGTTCAAACCGGAATTTTCGCGTAACATATTTATATATGATGAGTTGCCGTCAAAGCTTGCTTTCTTAGAGTTGAAGGCGTCATTTAATTCTTTAAATATAAGAAAAATCGATTGTAATTAATATGCACTATTTTTCATTTCTTTCGAACCCGAAACGCAAAATGGTAAAACAAAAAAATCTTATTCACCTTGAGAGAACAATGGGCATGGTTTCCTCATAGCCAAAATATGATCTTGTGCTTCTGGAACAGTGTGAATTGGAACCGCGTGCCAAATTTGTCCAAGTTTTTTGTTCCACTTCTGGTTCTCTTTGGGGGGAAACATACCTGCCGAATATAAACAAAACTAATTAGTTTGAACATTGTATTAAGGATTACTTTTACCATACCTGCCATATTGTGCGCTACACTTTGCAAACAGCGATCAACATCAGTGCTTTGCACATATATGATATCTTTGTGATAGGCACCATTATTTCCAATGAGATTTTTGTATCTTTCTGCTAAGTAGACTCCTGTTCATTTTAAGCGAAAAAGAAATTAAAATTCAAAACAATAAAGAAATTGAAAAAAGTGATAAGAAGAAGTGATATAAGAAGATAAAGAAATTGAAAAAAAGTGAAGCCATATGTACCAAGTTCGTATTGTTGTTGTTTGCCAATCTGAAAGCATTTCAATCAATAGTTATAAAAAAGTGTCATACTATTCTACAGAAAAAATCTTACATTAGTCAATTCTGCTGGACCTTCTGGATAATTTTTTTTCATATCACCATGCTCATCCTTTGGAAAAGGTACCCCTTTAAAAATATAACACAGATTTTTAAACAAACAAAAGAAAAATAAATTGAAAATATTTACGGATATTGCGATCCCCGTGTCTGAACAGAATATGAGCGAATATAAGTTGATCTTGTGATCCAGACGCCTGTTGTACTTTGCCTTTTTCTGATTTATAAGACAAAAAGAAAAATTAGCTCAAATTGGCTTTGATCCAATTTGATGAAAGGGAAATTTAATCTCAAGATTAATCGAATTACTTTTATTTTTACTGCCACTACTGCCCTCACACTGATGCACCTGTTGTTTTGGAAGAAAAAAGAAGTCATTAATGATTTAACGGAGCACGTTTATTTAAAGCACTTACAAAACACCCATTCAATAGACAAGCAGCTATAAGGAACCAATATAATGACTTCATTTCTAACATATTCGTTGAGACTATGAAAAATAAACGAATCGACTGAATTCACTTAGGGAATGTTTTCAAATTTATACATGTCAGAACCATTGTAGTTATTTGTTTTTGAAATAAATTCGATTATTTTTGTTGAATAAACTCGATTGACGTTAATCGTTTGTGTTTACAGATAGAAAAATGGAATTGGAATTTATATAATATGCAGATAAAGATGGGTAGAAAAAATGTGTGTATTTAAACACATTTTGGAAAACAGATATTTCTTAATAACAGAAGATAAGTGCGAAAACATGGGTTTCATTTCATTTTTTTCTAATGAAAATTTACCATGAACAAAAAAATAATACGAACAAAACATTCAGATGTACTATTCCTTACATTCAAAATTATTTCATTCGATTCTTTTTTCAGGGTCATACATACGCACGGTTATTACAATGCTTATCCAAAATGTAGTTAAATTTTATCACTAATCGTGTTATCAGCTCAACTTAAAATTAAAAAAAAAAAAAACTATTTTGAGAATCAATCTATTGTATATTGATATCTCATTTGATTAAATTCATCTTTCATTAATTTCAGAGGAAATTTTAGAAAAATAAACGACACACACATTTCACTCGAAAACTACTGTAATCATTCCCGCAATGTAAGCAACTAGTTTTGGGACTGACTTTGTGATTGCGTCTAGTGCCTCTATTTATAAGTGCCGAAATAGCTCAGTTGGGAGAGCGTTAGACTGAAGATCTAAAGGTCCCGTGTTCAATCCACGGTTTCGGCATAATTTTTTTTATTTTTGTTTATATCTTATTTTTTTGAATTTGTGTATATTCGTTGGTTATATTCAACCATCTGTTTATTAGATTTTTATATGCTTATGCCAATAAATTTTGAATGTTGAAAAACTTGCAATGATCCATTATTTGGATCTATTAAATAATCCGAGCATTACAACTAATTTGTCAAATACAAGTGTGCATGTTTCTATTAATTTTACTATTCCAACAAATTTATCTTTGAAAAATTTAGACAATTGCCTAAATGTAAAAAAAGCAAACAAGATAAACTATTTCGAAACATTTACACATTTAAAGATTTTCTTCTTAAAAAGACATCCAGATTTTGATTTTATTGAAAACATATTCTCCAAAAGCGCTCAAATCTAAACAAAATCTTTATATTTCAAATTATTTGGGACATTTTCAACGTCAGGAATTTTTTTTGTCTTTGGTATATTCCCATTTTGAGACATTCACGGAGTTTGTTTCAAGAAGTGCTCAGCAAGCACAGAACAATATGTTGTGCCAAACAATTTTATAAGCATTCAAAACATCATTCAACGATTCAGTTGATACGATTAAATTTTTTAAAAAGTAATAACGACGCTTGTGAAAAAAAAATGACTACCTGACAATAAATTAAGTCAATTTTAATCACTTTTATTCGGTTAAAATTACCAATAGATGATTGAAACCGAATATAGTCGGTTATGTGTCAGAGTTAACTGAAAATGATTATAGTCAACATAGTTGACAAAAGTCAATTTCATGTACTTATAGTTAACCGTAGTTAACTATGATCACAATCGACATTTCTCAACTCAAGTTTAATGAAGACGCACTTATAGTTAACTTTAGCTGGCTGAAATATCAGCCATTTTTGTGCCAAATTAGTCAATTTATAGTCGGCTATGAAGTCGAAATATCTCCACAAGGGAAATGTTGCATTTAGTCATATTGAAATGCTCAAAATGCAAATCTGTTTTAAAGCTTTTTTTAACGTTTTCCATATTAAGTTACGGAGTCATATGCCGAAACCGTGCTCGATATTTCTATTTGTAAGTGCCGAAATAGCTCAGTTGGGAGAGCGTTAGACTGAAGATCTAAAGGTCCCGTGTTCAATCCACGGTTTCGGCATAATTTTTTTCAGTTAATTCCATTTTTTATACACACTGACATACAATTTGTTCGATGGGTGTTATGTGGATTTTCTGTATGAATGTTTGTGCTCATTGAGTGCTATAATAAGTCTGTGTGAGACGTTTATTGAGTATATGTTACAACAGTGAAAAAAGCTTAAGGCGGAGTATTGATTAAATTATATTTTTATATTTCATCGGAACGTGATTGGATTGGAAGCTATGATGGTATTTAAAAAAGCGTAAAAATGGAATAAAAATTCAAAAAAAGTAATTCCCCTACCGGGAATCGAACCCGGGCCTTCTCGGTGAAAGCGAGATATCCTAGCCACTAGACCATAGAGGAGATACATGTAAGGCTGCCAGTTAATTTTAAGTTCCGAAATCTCTACCAAGTAAGCCAATACACATTTTCACATCATTTAAGTGGGAAAAATCATTGCACGAAAAAGTCTCTCGAAATGCTAAGTTCCGCATCGATGTTGAAACAACAGGCAAACAGTTGACAAATTAATTCTTTCAAACAAAAATTATAAAAAAACTGGTTATGTAGTTGATTAATTGCCTTGATGTTACTGCAGTTTCTGTGCTTGTCTCTTTTAAACTCAAATTCATTCAGATTCAATTATCTTTTTTGTATTATCATGTCTGAAGTCAACATGTGGCATATGATCTTTTGACTTTTCCATTCGTTGGGGACTGATTTGTAAATTGGTTGTTTTTGATAATCATTTTTTTAGTTGAAACTTCCTTTTTCACAAGCATCGGTGGTTCAGTGGTAGAATGCTCGCCTGCCACGCGGGCGACCCGGGTTCAATTCCCGGCCGATGCATTAATATTTTTTGAATTTTTTAACAGAATGTCAAACGAAATATCTATTTTTAGCAATACCTCGCTTCGAAACAATATTTTATAATGTTCAGAGCCAGATTAAATTTGGTTATGTAACACGAAAAAGCATGGCTTATTCTTCAAACATTATTTAAAATCTTTTCTTTTGCATACTTTCGCCGATATCATTGAAATTCACACTTCGATAAGATGCCTTTATTTTTTGTTATAAATTCAAAAAAGTTACATTGATTATAGATAGTTTATGGAAATGCAGAAGAAATGGAAACTTAATCATCTGCATTTGACGTAGTCAGGAACCAATACAAACATCGTAGAATGCTTTTCTGAAGCTTCCATTCTTGATCAGTTTAGGCATGATCAATTCGACTTAAAAAGCTATTGATGTTTTTTAAAAAGAGAAGACAGGAATTTATTAGATCTATGATACAAATTTGGTATATTTATAAAAGACACAGAGAGAGAGAGAGACTGATGTATTGATAAGCTGAACAAATACAGGTTGTGTGAAATTGATTTGATCCCAAGCTTATATCTCCTCTATGGTCTAGTGGCTAGGATATCTCGCTTTCACCGAGAAGGCCCGGGTTCGATTCCCGGTAGGGGAATTTTTTTCTCATTCCTTAATTTCATATTTTTGTTCGTATTCTATTTAATTTGAATGAAAACTTTAATTTTTCAGATGAAAAATGTCAGAGATAGCCACTATTTTTTCAATAAAAATTATGATGTTCAGATACTATAATGAATGGTCTTTTAAAATTTTTAAAAACATCATAAAAATATCAAAAAAATAATTGCATCGGCCGGGAATCGAACCCGGGTCGCCCGCGTCCTGCATAATTACAAATATCGTGGCAGGCGAGCATTCTACCACTGAACCACCGATGCTCAAGATGAAATAAATCACGGCGATGTCGAGAATTTAGTGATAATGGTAATGACATGAAAAAGACTTTGACATGTGTTCACAAGTTACATAAATTAATGTTGATCTTTTGTGATCGTGATCATATGAACAACACTGACTTCATGGCAGTTTTCATGTTATTCGACTATGTCTTATCAAAGAACTGAAATTCAATACTTGAAATAAGCAATTCACCAATGTATGTTTTTATCTTCATTTCAACAATCAATCATAGTCAATTTTCATGTCGATTCTTCTATGACCATCGTTTGAACTTTGAATAAAAAGTTCTAATAAAATTCCTTGGACGAAAATCCTTTTTAAATCAGAGAAAAATCGTGAAAATACTGGTGGCCAAATGGCTCAGCGAAGTAAGACATAACATCTAGTCATTTGTGGATGACCAATTATTTTGCCTGTTATTTGAATTTGGCTAAAGGTAATACACACATAATGAAATTGTTTGTTTCGAGCTAGGCACATATGAAAAACCGCACAAATGACGTAAAAGAAGAAACTCAAGCTGTTTTGGATACAAGGGGAAAGAAATAAAGAAATAATAATGTTTATTGTATAACCATTTTATTCATTTTCAATATTTGAAGGAGCGAAAATGAAAAATAGTCATATTTGTCTGTTTATTTGAATGGGTTCATGTAAATAATTTTTTACATTGAATTATAAGTTGCCTGAAAGTGAGAATGTGTCGGTTTATACCTCATCCTAACGCTATTCCATAATCGGTTGCGGTTGGACCTTTAGTTTCATCAGCCAAATAATCGTCTTCTTTTGGTTGTGGTGGTTTTTCAGCACGATTTGGTGGAGATTTTTTTTGTAACCGAACTTTTTAAAAATAATAGATACCAGTGGCGCCACCTACTGGATATTATATGCGTTAGAAAGGTACTTGCCCCACTGACATTATGTCCAAGTTTCATGAGGATCAGATCACTGACAGCCAAGTTATTGCGTCAGATATTTTAGTATATTTAAGGCTCGGTTCAAGGCCAAAAATTGAACACAGAATAGTTATATCGTCTCGTTCTCATCGGCAAATGCACTCGTTGGAAAGAGGATAGCCATACGACATATCTCAAGCGAAAATGGAGAATTGTGCAATGTACATTATAGTTTTTTTGTTGACAAATGACTGAAAAATGAGCAAGAGCAATATCGTGAAAAAGTGACTTACTGTCTATTTCATGTTCTAGAGACTCTATACATCTGACTATCTGCAATAATCGTTATGGATTATTCAATGTAAACTATAGGTCCTCAGTTAATATAAGGCTAATCAGAGCAAAAGATTCGATGATCGGTTCCACGAAATTCACAGAAAATTGGTCCACGAAATGAGAATATCCTGAAAATTTGACTTTTTCCAAAGATGTTGATATGCG